TCTCTCTCTCTCTCTCTCTCTCTCTCTCTCTCTCTCTCTCTCTCTCTCTCTCTCTCTCTGTCACACACACACACACACACACACACATGGTCTACTGTTCCTACATCTACGGTCCCCTCGCCCTTTTCTGAGACAGCACCTCAGCATGTAGCTCAGCAGGCTAGTTTCAAACATACGATTTTCCTGTCTCTCCTCCCCAGTGGGATTATGGTAGATCCTGCCAGGGTTATACATACCACACTTGGAGAAATTCCCCTGAAACAACCTAATGGGCCCGCTAAATCACTATTATCTACACTGCATCCCCTCGATAGTGAAAGACTCATTGCCTGGAGATAATGTCAGCCATCTGAGGCTTATTGTTCACTAGAAACATTATATAGTCATCTAACATGGTGGCAGGAGATCTTCATCCATGCCACCCTCACATGCCGTGTGTTTTATCCATGTTTCAAGTATCTTAAGAACTTAAAGTTATGCTGTCTTTGTTTGTGGTAAATGACAACACAGAGAGAGACCTGGGTAGTACATGGCCAAAGCTATACTCCACCTCCTAGAAACTGTGATCAGAAAGAATGTGACATTTTTAAAAAATGTCTGATGGACACAAAAGAGGAGAATCCTCACAAATAAACTTCTTTTCTTTCATCTGGAGACAGAAAATACTCTCCTTTATCCCTCTCTCTAGCTTTCCTTATAATAAAATGTCTCTGTGGAGAATTTTTCCTAATGCCAATCTGCATTTGCTAGGACCCTCGGATGAGCATAAGCCCTGAAACAGCTAAGTAGTATGGTTGGTTTTGATTTTAAAGGTGTCATTTGAACACCTGACTAGAACTTTGTGGAAATGTATGCACTCAGCAGCTCAGGTGCTTTAAACAAACCTACCAGATCCAAGCAGCACACCACCTCTATCACTGGGGCTCTCTTCCAGAATGTGCCCTTCCGAGTCATGTCTGTTATGTAGCAGCAAACCTGTATTTTCATTGCTTCATTATTTCTCAAAGCTCCACCTCACTGCAGGGATTAAAGCATCAGTGCACAAAGGCTGGGTGAGACCGAAACACTGGATACACAACAGTTCTGGACCTCTGATAATTAGGAAAGAATACAATTGCTTGCCCATGCTAAGTTGGCTAGAGATGAAGGCTGGGGAACAGAGGTGGGGACGCACAGTCAATCAAACAACAGCCTAAAGAAAAACCAGACCAGTGACTCGTGCTACAAAGACAGGACTGGGAAAACCTGTGTGCATATTTCTGCTGTAGGGAAACTGCCTCAGATGGAGGAAGCTTCTACAGAGGTAATGTCCGAGCTCCTAACTCAAGAGTAAGAGTAGCTTACTAGACAAAGATGGGGAGAGAGCATTTCAGAAGCAAAGGAAGCACACAGAAGATGTGTAGTGGAGAAAGCACAAGTTAATAGACCAGAGAGCTATTTAGCTGCAGCAGAGACAGCAGGAGCAGCATGAACTTGCAAAGTTCTAACCAGGCAAGGAAGAGAATCAGTCCCTTGCCCACAAGCACCTCTGTCATTGCCAAGGACTGAACAGGGGCCCTGCCATCTCAAGGCTGCATAACTGCAGTACAGAAGGCAAACTGATCTAGTGGGAACAGAGGTCGGAGCCCACTGTGGGGTGGCTCCTTATACCCAGCAACTCAGGACTTCTCCCCGCTCACTTAGAAGACCCAGTAACTCTTCGAAAACTGTTTGAGAGTAAGAGAGTGAGAGACAGCAAGAGAGAGTGAGAGAAAGTGAGAGAGAGCAAGAGAGAGTGAGAGTGAGAGAAAGTGAGGGGGAGGGAGAGGAGGGGGGGAGTTAGTTAGTTTTAGGGCAAATAAAATAAGCTCTTCTTTCCCAATTAAGGCACTAAACTTGTGAGTAATGATTGAAACTAATTATTCTAAGTGGAAGCAAGTCTGAAAATAGCAATGCCTTTTGGAGGATTTTAGAGCTATTTTGGGAGAGTGTGGGGAAGTTGCAGGCAGACTGAAGCATATCCCACATCACAGTAAAACACAGGGATGGTCATGCCATGGTTTTCACTGAACATGCTTACCCACAGAGTCTAAAGTTTAACTAGCCCGAGAAGCACACTAATGGTGAAGGCCAAGGAAGCAGAGCTGTCTGCTACTTCCTACTGTAATGCTAAACTCCCAGTTCGCCAAGAGCTGTCAAGCTGTGTGTTACAACATGGAACTTGTGATCAGATGCACTTGCCATGATCTTGCACCACATGGTAACATGTGGTAACATATTTCCTAACACAGGCCTTGTTGATTAGACAAGCACACCCCTTCCCGTTTTTAGATTCTTCTTTCCTCTTTGATGTCAGATGAACAGGCTGAGAGGATGGATAACATGGATGGAAGGAAGAGATTGTCCTCAGACTCCCCCAAACCACCCTAAGCAAAGGAATTCACAAGAGGGTGTGATGGTAAATCGTGCTTAAAGATTTCTTTTTTAACTTATGTTCATGTATATGAGTTCTCATGAATATCTCCTATGTGTGTGGATACCTAGGGAAGCCAGAAAGGGATCCGTTCCCCAGGAGCTGCATTTACTGGTAGTTGAGAGTCGCCTGATGTGGATACTGAGATCCAAACTCAGGTCCTCTAGGAGAGCAGAAAATCCACGTAACCACTGAGCCATCTCTCCAGCCCTATGTGGTTATAGACTGAGGAGTGCCTGGGAAATTAGTAAAGTGGGCCTAGGGGTATATCTGAACACATTTATAATAATAATGACGATGATGAAAAAAGCAACTAAGGGGGGTGGGACTGGCACCATCTCAGAGGTTGGGGCAGCGGGAATAAAGGGAAGATCCAGGTACACCAACACGGGCTCCACCTACTTCCTGGATGCCACAAGGTGCAGAGCCTCCCATCATTGTAATGAATGGAGCCAAGACTATGGGTTGAAACTTCATGAACCACAAGTCAAAATCACTCACACCTTAAACGTTGTAGGTCCCTGTCCCTGGAGGCATTGCACATGTGGCTGCTATGTCACATGTGGATGGATCAAAAGGTGACAGAGAGGAGAGAGGCTATGTCTATGCTCAGTGTTCTCACCTATGAATATCTGAATGACTACAGTAGCCTAACATTCCCTGAAAAGAGGGAGCCTGAGACAACCACAAGTCCTGTACAGGCAGGCCCAGATGAGCTCCCGGGATATGGGGTGTGTAGAACAAACCCTGGGCTGGGCAAGGAGCGAGCCCTAGATGACCACCAGACTGGAGCCATGAGGCCCAGGCAGAGAGTTATCATGCATGAGAAGACCACTGGTCTAGCCCTGCTCAGGCCTTGGAGAGTAGACCGTGCCTGAGATGACCCCTCCCCAGTGCCATAATACATGAGTGGGGGCATAGCACTCCTGAGACCACTCCTCAAACAACCCTAGATACTCAAAACCCAAGGTGTCACTTAGATGAGCAAGTAAGTGGTGGAGAAGTGAAAGAGAAAGAGAAAAAGAAGAATGTGGGCACTATGAAGAGAGGCAGAACTGGAACAGCCCAATGTGAATACCTTGTGATGGCACCTAGGGCTACATATGAGTCCATGGTCCTACAGCAGCAGGGATCTGTTACCACCAAAGGCCAGGCAGACATCCCCCACCTGGGCTGCCACCTGGCACCATATTAGTGTCTAAGGGCTGTGCAGAATTGGCCCCACCCCTTTCCTGGGCATCATGGGGGAGAGGGCCTTGGAGGCCTAAGAGCAGGAAATCTGACCCCACCCTGGGCCCTGAGATCACAGGAGTTGCCTGCTCCAAGAATATAAGCATGGGAGAGTTGACCCTGACACTCTCTCCTGTGTTGTCTTGTGGAAGAGGGAGAGAGATACACTCATCCCTCACCAGTTACAGCAGGCAGGAGACCTGGCTCTGCCCCTCACTAGCTACTCTCTGCTCTGGCGGGAGCCCACCAATTTTCTGCTGTGTGGTGACATGAGTAAGGGAGAGACACCCCCCGCCCCCACCCTGATGCCTTTCCACCTATAGTGGGCAGGAGAGTTGGCCCCAATGGGGTCATAAAAACAAGAATGCTAGCCCTGACCTCAACTGCTACAGGACTTGAGAGAGCTGGCCTTGTACTTTGCCTGGGTAACACAGTAGAGCTGGTCATGGCTGTGGGGATTGTAGGTGAGCCAGTCCAGCCTCTTGTCTATTGCAGTGGTGTAGACAAGGGGGAGATGTCCTCCTCCCCTCCCTCATCCCTCAACATCTATGGCAGTCAGGAGAGCTGGCCTCAGGGTCATGAGAGTAGGAGAACCGGCCGTGTCCCTCAGGAGCTCCAACACTCCGGAGATCGGGCCCTGCACCTTGCCTGGGCAGCACATAAGAGCTGACTCTGGTTTTGGGTGGGGGGTTCTGGTGATCCAGCTCCAAGAGTGTGAAAGCAGAAGAGCCAGGAGGCTGACCAGTTCAGATCTCTCGGCCCCAGATCCAGGGCTTTGAATTGGCTCACCCCAACATCTACACCATCAGTGAACTGCTGGGGTACATGAAGGGGCTGATCCTACAGACCCAACACTACAGAATCTCTATGGCCCAGGACAACAACATGATATCAGAGAGGAGTCCCAGTGAGATTCCAGTGTTGATAAAATAGCAGAACCCAGAGGCCTCATACCAGACCAATGAGTCATTGCAATGAACATTTGCAAGCAAAGAAGTGTGGACAAAGGGTATACTGTAGGACACACTGCAGATTCCACAATGAGATTTTTTTTCCACTGCTGAATGGGAGGCCTCAAGAGTGTAGGGTGGGTACGGGGGTGGGGGTGGGGAGATGAGAGGGATTGGGGTTCATGATGTGTGATTCATAAAGAATCAATAAAAAGGCTCAGGAATTTCTATTGGAGTGATGTAAGAGTTACTAGTACAGAACATTTTTACCCCAGTGGGTTCAAGGGTCAGATATGGCAGGAGAAAGGGTAAGGAGAAAGAGAAGATGAGAAGCCAAATGAAGGTTCAGTGCCTAGATGCTCCAATCCAAAGACAATTCTTTTGGAGCAGAACAAAGCTGCCATGTACACTAGCTCCCAAGCCTCTTCTGCAAACACCCACACAGTTTTTGAGCTCCAGGGACAAGTTTTCTTGGTCTGTACATGCTGACAACTAGCTTCCTCTGTGACTCTCTCTAGACTGCAGAGCCCTAACACTACCTACATGTGCTTCTGCAAGGGACCCAGAGTTATTTAGGAACTGTCACACTTAACAGAATTAGCACTTACGATGCCTCGGGGAAATGGCTCTGGTTGCCATTTTTCTTCTGAAATGCCAGTCTTCAGCTATTCTAAACAGTATTTATATGACCTGCTTTCCTCAGCAATAATCATAACACGAAGACTTCAAAGCTGTGGGGGAACGCAATACAGTTCACGACGTTTTTCTGCTTAGAGTTTCATTATGCCAAATCCTGTCCTCACAAACCTTTACATTTCCTATTTTCTGCCGAGTAGACTCCGTAGCTTTAAGTGTTCTTTCCTGTGTGGGCAGCAAAGGATAGAAAGACTTACAATTTTTCATTCTCAGAGGCTTGGTGGCAGCAAGAAGCGAAGAATGTCTGAGATCCATTAATTCTTCATTTTTCTAGGCTAATGGGGAAACACAAAGTCAAATCCCCACACTATCGTTCAGTAAAGTTTCTTTCTCATTAAATTTCTGGCCAGGTGCAACACCAAACTATGTGCTGTTAGTCTCACAGGTTTTTCTCCATCCTTCTGGGATGTAGGCAGAGGGTGGGCTGAATGCAAACTGAACAGAAAGGGTTAGGAAAAGGGCACTAAAGCCAAGATGAACAGTGGGCAAGGTTTGTACTGTGGCCGCCATGGCAAAGCTGTGGGGCAGGGAAGCCACTTCATATTACTGTGTCAGATCCTCAGCAGGTCTGTCCAAGTCCAGCACGCCTTTTGGCTCCTTCCTGAAACAAACACAGCTGGTCTTCCATACCCATGGGTTCAGCATCTGTATTTATGAATTCAGTCAACTCTGGATTAAAGTTATTCAGAAAAAAAAGTACTTTTGTGTGTATTGAACATGTGCAGACACGTTTTAGTATCATTCATTCCCTGAACAATTCAGACAATTACTATTTACAGAGTGCTTGAATTATATTAAGTACTGTAAACTTAGCATGATTAAATAGAAGAGGGGAGTATGTAGCGTATATGCAAATATTTGAGGAACTGGTATAGTGGGGTCCTAGAACAACCCTCTGCAGATGACAAAGCTCTTCTGATTAGATGATAGGATAGACGGGTGACTGAAAAAAATAGAGACTGAAACAATGATACTAGAGGAACCAAATTATAATTTTATATTTAATCTCTCTCCCAGTGTTCTAGAAATTTCATCTAACCACGATAAAAATATCACTTAATTGGCTCAAACTACTCGTGTGGAAGACATGCACTTCCCACTTTCTACTCTCTGCCATTTCTTTTTCATAAAAGAAAAGCTTACTAACTGCTGTTACCAAAACCTCAAAAATACCCATGCCTCATCCTGAAATGAAGCAAAAACTCTTGTTCCATGTCTTATTCATGAACATATTCATATTTATATTCATATATTCATAAGTGCATAAACGGGGGTGAGCAGGCAGAGAGAAAGGAAACCAACAGTCAATGGATAATTGCTGAGTCTCCACAGGGGCTTCCAGCCAAGTGGCAAGGAAGAGGAGGGACAGGAGACTTGCTGTGCTACAATCCTACAGTCTCACAGGCTAGAAGCCTTGGGAGTTGTCCTGCCTTCCCCAGCAACTTGTGCAAATATCAGCATTTGGCAAAACCCCCAAAATTCTTCAGTTTCAATGCATTGTATAGTAAATTCTGGGGATCTGTGTTAGCCGTTGTGTGCGGTGGGAAAACCAAGTCTAGGTAGGACCCAGAGGCAGGTCTTGCATCCTGGTGTCAGTGCACACTTGTGAATCACTTTACCTCTTGTGAATCAAAAATCTCTAAAGCCAGGATGAACACTTTCTAAACAGTCTAGAATCTTAAGGTCCAAATTCATCATTTCAATGTCATTAAAAGTTAATAAAAATATTTTATCAGCTGTAGGAATTACTTACCCTAAATGCAGAATTGACAGTTCATCAGAACACTCCTCTGAACTATTTCTGGCAAAAGCAAACCTTAACAACCAGCTCAGTTTGGATATTTTACCTGCTGAGAACATCTGGCACTGATGTGTTTAGCAACTCAGCAAAGTCAGTTTCACCTGTCTTCCCTTCTGTTTCTTTTCAAGGATCAACTATCCCAAACTTTGCCAAATACAACGTTGGTATTCAGAAACCAATGAATGAATCATTCATGAAAAGCCCAAGAACTTTCTAGAAAGAGTGAACTGAAAGTTCTCTCCAGGACTAACCCATTGTTTACATTTTCTGATAAGACAAGCATTGAGGCTAGTCTAAAAAGGTCAAGAAACTGTAGAACACATGCCACATGGCTCTCCCAGCATCTATAGATGTTGGCTATGTGTACCTACTGTGAGGGCCAGCACTGACCTGTTAAAAAGTGAAAACAAGCAGAAGCCTTCCAATACTGACAAATCCCTCAGCACCTCTCTTCCCAGCCAACAAACTAACACAGCAGTTCTCACATATGTTCACTATGACTTCAGTAGCAGATACCATTTTATGTAGCAGACGAATATACTCTATTTCTACCGGTGTCCCTGTCATTCAGCTATCCACATGCCTACTCACCCAAATACCCATGCATATCTTCAAGACACATACTGAAACAAATGCTAGGTGCGGTGTACTAAACTGATTTGAGATCTAGCATTTGAGAGTCAAATTCAATGTCTGCTCACTACAAAAGCCTTGGTGTTTCTAGAGCATATTAATATCTTGTCATTTTCCTCCTTTGCTCAAACCACATGAAACCATCATTGTACTATAGGCAGCTAATGCCTCAAAGCTCGTTTCAAACAAAAGAAACCATCATTAAGGCAGGGGCAGCTTTAGGATACTAAGAGAATATGAGTCACTCTTAAGAAACCTAATAGATCAAATACTTCATTTCGTTAGCATGGCAGTATTAGAAATATACCCAGCTGTCAAAAGCCACTTGGTCCCAGTGAGTTAGACTAC